AAATTATCCAATCATGGTTTTCGGCTTTCTTTTTAAAGTTTCTTCTCACTTCCTTTTGTTAGTCCTTTACCCTTTTCTCACTATTTATACTTCTTCCTCTGTCTCTCTTCTCACTGTGTTTTATAAGGTTTGGTATATTGTTTCATAAACTGACATTCAGACATCCGATTTTATGTTTGAAAACAAGTTTTGACAATTTGGAGGCCCAGAAATCTGACAAATACTCACTTGGACTATATCTCTTTTCATGAATCGTAGCTATCATGACATCAATCATTTACATTTTTCGAAAGCGGACATTGCTATCTAGATGACCATATCCTCATGTGGTCCTCTTATCATTTCTCTAGTAATCTTACCTTATGACATCATTAATGCATAATGTCTACAGCCATAGAGTAAGCATTTGGGTGATACCCCTCAAATAGCATAAGGCAATATATTCAAACAAAACATGAAATTTGTAACACAGCAGTTGGCGAGACTGTGGGTTTGACAAATATCTAGCCATTTTATTATCAAGCTAAACTGTATTCCTTATCTATTAAAGCTTAATTATTGGAATGTTTGTTAAGAAATTTATGTACACTGCTTCCTATATGTCATACTTTGTTTTCAAATCTTGCTGTGATTTACTTCAAAGGACTTGAACTTTGTAATTATAAAGTTGCCTCTTTCATGATGTGAGAAAGGAAGAGAAAAGCTTATCAGAGCAATTTAAGGTGATGGAGAAGATGGTGAGTTTTGTCATGTTTGAGGCTCACTGAATCTTAAGTAGGTCAAATGTTTTAAATAGCTTTATTGAAAGACTGGTTTTTCAATACTGGAATTTTTTATATACTTTTTTTAATTTTGAAAGAAAAATTGAAAGCAGTTGGGATATATCAACAATGTTGCTTTGATAAGTGTGCTTTGCGAGGTGCAAATATCTACCTAGATGTTAATAATCAGAAAAAATATTCTCATAGCACCCCTTAATGAGCTTCTTTAAGGTGTAATTCTGAATGTTTGTAGCTTCTATGTTAACAAAAGGCTGAAGGCTTGCCGAACCAGTGAAGTGGACTTTGTAAGATGAAGTGTCAAGATACGGATTGCAGATGCCACCTACTGAGGCTTAGAAAACATTTACATTTGAGGTAATACTTGGAACTTTTTTTCTTTTTAAGTTTTTTTCCATAGGGGGTGTGCTCTCACTGGAGAGAGAAAGAGAGAGGAAAAGTGAGAAACCATCCCCCCACGGGAGATGACCTTGCTGCAATCCATTTTCCTCCATTCTCCTTTAGGAATTTTGGGCACACATGTACATGTGCCCAGCGTGAATTTCCAGCTGCCAGGTCTAGGACTTGAACTGTGCTTCGCCATATGGGAGTCCAGTGCCTTAACTACCATGCCACCTGTTGGACCCCTTTCTGAAACATTTTACATTTACTCATTTATTCAATATTTTCCTTGTTGTTTATTGTAGGCTTCATAAAGGCAAAGATCATATTCTCTGGATTTTGCACAATGTCGCCAGGCATACTTTAGTATCTCAATAAATGTTGATTGAATGAATAATCTAATTTTATTGGGTTGTCAGAAAAGTTAGGATGCAAAATACATCATGACTTTTCTGACAACCCAATAGTTTAGGAAGATTAATCAAGTTGGCAAACTATACTAAATAGTACATCTACCTATTTTATTAGTTAAATCTTAAACTATAAAAATTAAGTTAGAAGTAGGGAAAAACAAATTTTACAAAACTCAATTAGTGTAATCATTAGTTTTGAGCTCTGTTTCTCTATAAACTTTTTCTGGAGATAATTTTGGTTTGCCTTTTGAGAGATATGTAGTCAAAGGCAAACTGTCCTATATGTAACAGAAAGAAAAGGTCGAGTCTAGGAATTAACAAATTACATAATCAATTCTTAAAACATATGCAAGACATACAATATTTAATATTATTTTGTGTGTAGGGGAGACCTTTGTCTCCCAATTGTTATAGTAGACAGTGGATAGTTATTGAAATCCCAATATTCATTAGTAATACAACATAAAAATAGTTCTGGATGTTTTCACAAAGTATTTTTTAAAGAATTATTTTATTTAACTTGATTATTATTATTTTTAAATTTTGCTACAGGACACCTGTGCACCTATGCTCACTAGAGAGAGACAGAAAGAGAGAGAGAGAAAGCAAGATGCCAGGTCTGGAATTCAAACCATGGTCAGTCATGCGGGAGTCCAGTGCCTTAACCACCACACCACCTGCTGGCCCCAAGAAGTTTCTTAAGCCATGTTTGAAGAATATATAAGTTACTTCATAGGCCACTGTACCTTTATTTTAATTTTTTAGTATATTCTGCCATGTCTATGTGTGTATGGGAACTTAAATTTCGATGACAAGGATATATTTTGAAAAGTTCATTTCTAAAATAGAAAACACTGGCAGGACCAGTTGAGGAATGTCCAAAGGGTTAGTAGTTGAAAAAGTTGAAGTTAGTTCGAGCTTTAACATTTAAGATCAATTAGTTCACTAAAGAAATCTGATTCAAAGTTATCAGGAATTCTACCAACATTTCATGAAAAAAGCCACCAGATATATCCATCAACAACTACAGTTGAAGAAAAATAACTGAGACTCTCTGCGCCACTTGTTTGAAGCACAGAAAGGTGCCTTAAGTAAGGCTGTTGGGATTTCGGCAATCTGCGGAGGATGGGGACTAACCCTGGGTATGCCTCCTTCAAGGTCCACTCTGCAGTTTGCTTTGACTGAAACCAGTTAGATGTGAAAGAGCAAGTTATAAATTGTTAAAATTTCCATCTTGGGTGAGATCTCTGATGGTAGGAGGTCTATTTACAAGGACCACTAAAGAGAACTGCTGTGGGGGCTGGCAAGGTGGCTGGTGGTTAAGGGCGCTGGACTCCCATATGGCTGACTGCAGTCAAGTCCTGGACCTGGAAGCCTTCTCACGTTCCTTCTCTAAATTAATTAATTAATTAAAGTTAAATAAAATATTTTTTAACAAAAAGAGAACTGCTGTGGAAGACAGCAGGTGGCAGTAGTGCTAAAGATGCTGCACTCCCCCAAGGCTAACTGCATTTCCAGCCCTGGACCACTGCCTGAAATATCAATCAGCCGGAGCCCAAAATCCTGAAAGGAGAAAGAAGGACTTGCTTATGGGGTGACCATTCCCCTTGGATGGTGATTTCTCACCTTCCTTCTCTCTGTTTCTCTGTCTCTCTGTAAGCACACGTGCCCTCTGGCAAAAACCATAAATGAATGAATGAATAGAAACTGTAAGTGTAACAGGAGAGCCAGGAGGAGGGAGTGACATTTGTTCAGGGCCTACTGTCAGCAAGGGTGCAAAGCCCTTTCAGTGATTAATCTTAATAATTTGAATCTATAACATTCTAAGGAGGTAGGCTTCAGAGTTCACGTAAGGGGGAGCTAAAGAGCTCAACGTCACCAGCTCCTCCAAAGGTGGGTGCTTGGGGAAATAGCATCCTCAGTGGAGCAGCCAGAAAGTACCAGAAAGTGTGTCTGAGTTTGGCCGGCTGAGCGCTAGGACAGGGACTCTGGCAGCAAGACAAGGATCATTCAGAAAAAACGTGGTACCTGGGACCAGCGGTTAGCGTAATGGCTATGTCGCTGGACTCCCACGTAGTCGACCGCGGTTTGAGTCCCGGACCTGGTGGCTTAAACTCACGCCGGGCGCGTGTGCGTGCGTGCCCAAGAACACACGCCCAAGATCCCAAGAGGAGAGTGGAGGAGAAGGGACTTCGGAGTGGCCACCCCCCCTGGGGTGTGATTTCTCACTTTCTGTCTCTCTGTCTCTGTCTGTCTGGCGAGCACACAGCGCCCTATAGCAAAAACAAACAACAACAAACAACAACACAAAACAAAACAAACAAACAAAAACTCTACCAAAAAAAAGAGAGAGAGAGAAAAGTAGTACCTGAACCACTTCTTTCGGGCCTTACTCTGGATGGGATGGCACCGAGGGGTCGGGGAGGAGGGATTCCCTGTCCGGGCGACCGCGACTCTGTCCGGGTTTCTGGGGCTTCTGCCAACAGGAAAAACGTGTCCTCCCGTTGTTGGCCCTCTCCCCTCTGGCCGAGGACGTCGGGGCAAGGAGCTCGGCCGGCGGGTGTCCCTCAGCCTCGGGCCAGTCTGGCCGCGCGCTCTGCTCCTCCGTAGCCCCGACGCTCCCGACGGCAGCCGGCGCCCCAAGCTCAGCCCGGAGGAGGCCATGGCGAAGTCCAGGGGTCGTCTGTACCTTTGGATGTGTTTGGCTGCAGCGCTGGCATCGTTCCTGGCGGGATTCATGGTGGGTAAGTGCACGAAACGCCCTCCCCGACCCAGGGCTCGCTCTTCGCCGCCGCCGCGCCTTGGGCGGAAAGACGGAGAAGGCCTGGCGCGGAGGGCCAGCCCAGGCGCGGTGGGGCGGACCCCGCGAACTTCCGCAGAACTAGACTCCCCGTGGGTGGAAGTTTGTCTTTCCTAAGCGACAGAGCGTGACTGAAATTCACCTGTATTACGTGGGCACTGAGTTCAGGCTACAGTTCAGGGCTGTTGCTAAGACAATTTAGAGCTGTCACCTCCGCTGGGATGAGAAAGACAGTTTTATTTCCAAGCACCACTGAGCCAAAACTTCATTTGGGCAACATGGCAAAGAACTGCCCTGCCCTGCCCTGCCCTCATCTTCAAATAAGTACTTGTGGCATGTACTCTGGGTGTCCGCTCTGTGCTAGGAACCAGTTCCCCGGGGGAGAACCACCAAGGGCCACGCCTCGGTGCAGACACTACACGGGAGACAATGAGAAAACATCCTCGGGACCAGCAGAAGGCGTAATGGTTATGTCATTGGACTCACACTTGTTCAAGCTTGGTTAGAGCCCCGACTCGGCGACTTAAAACTTACACAGGGTGTGTGTGCGTGCGTGCCCAAGATCCTGAGAGAATGGAGGAGAAGGGGTTGCAGGAGAAGGGGTTGCGGTGTGGCCGTCCTGAGGTGAGGTTAGGGGAATGTTTCTCACTTTCTGCCTCTCTGGTGTGAAGACCACACTTGCCCTGTAGCAAAAATTCTCCCTAGAACAAACCAAAACAAAACAAAACACCTCAAAGAAAACCACTAAGAGCCTTTCAATTTTTCTTTCAGTTTTAAGAATGTCAAAAGCGATTGTGTCTATGTGTGTGTGTGTATGTGTGTATATTTTTTCTTCAGGATGGTTTATCAAGCCTCTCAAAGAGACAGCCACTTCGGTGCGCTATCATCAAAGTACACGATGGAAACTGCTGTCAGAAATGAAAGCTGAAAATATTAAGTCCTTCCTGCGGTAAGCTTGTTTTACTTATTTGATCATTAAAAATATAGTGTTTAAATAGTGAGAATTATGTTTAACATTACTAGCGCCCCCCCCACACACACACAATCTTTGTCTGAAATCCTATTGTATATTGCTTATTAATTTATGGAAGTTTAACATGTCTCTTTGAAGCACTCTTAGGGTGAAATCCATTCCAGTGTTACAGATGGAGGTCTTTTTCCCCCATCTTCATCTGCCAAAAAAGTATCTGTTTGGCTTATTGAGAGTTGTTTCAACTCCATGTAACTTTGGACTGCAACTGAATGTCATTCTTTGTTCCTTCTATCTGGGTTTAATCAACAATTTTATTTACAGACAAGATATTGTCAGAAGGAGTTAGATAGTTGTTGACTTGGTGGCTTAGTGGATAGGAGATCAAAGTTTCAGAATTTGCTTGCCACGGGTTAAATCTTTATCCTGTCTTGCACATATCAACTCATTGTTCACAAACAGGACAGCAAGAAAGCAGAAAGGATTAGTGCAAAGTCTCCACTTCAAAGCATAAAGACAGTGACATTCAGAGCACTGATTATGAACTCCTTGGTGGCAATGACCATGATATTTATTTCTGTGTCCAAACTTTTTCGAAGGAGCCTGTAACGTGATGTACATAAAATAAATTGCCTGCCTAAAAAAGCCTACAATTTAAGAGTTTTGACTGATTTATATTAAACAAACCATCTCCTCAAGCAAGATACAAAAAAATTCTATCATGCCTTTACAATTTATTTCTTCCTTTCCCTCTGGCCCTAGGCAATCGCTGATCAGTTTTATGTCATTTGTATTTCCTGTAATTTTATATAAATGGAATCATGCAATATGCACTCTTTCTTCTTTGGCTTCTTTCACTCCGAATAATGATTTGAGGTTCATCTGGGTTGATGCCTTTATCTGCGGTTTATTAGTTTCTATCACTGAGAAGTATTCCATTGTATGGATATACTACAATGTATAGTTGAGGACATTTAGATTGTTCCACAATTTTGACTACTGTGAATACAACTAGTATGAACATATGTTTATAAATCTTTGTGGATATATATTTTTTACTTCTCTTAGAATGGCTAGGTTGGATGAAAAGCATCTATCTAACATTTTAAGAAAATTTGTGATTTCAAAAGTGGTTATACCATTTTGCATTACTACCCATCATGTGTGTGTTCCAAAAGTGTCAAATCATGGCCAACACTATTTTCAGTTTTTTAAATTTTAACTATTCTAATTGGTATGTAGTAGTATCCAATTGTGGCTTTAATTTACATTTTCCTAATGACTAGTGGTATTGAGCATCTTCTCATGTGCATAATGGATATTTATACATCTTTCATAATGTCTCTGTTCATATATTTTCTCATACATTTTCTGGAGAAAAGTCTCCTTGTCAGACATAAGTATTGCGAATATTTCCTCTGGTAGGTAGATATGTTTTGTTTTCTTAGTGAAATTTTTGAAGGGCAAGAATTTCTCATTTTAATGAAGTCCAGTTGATCTTTTTTTTTTTTTTGCTTGTTTTATGCTTCATTTTCTCTGTGTCCTAACTTTACCTATTCTGAAGATTTTCTTATGTTTTCTTTGAAAAGTTTTATATTGGAGTTTGCACATTTAGGACACTGATCCACTTCAAGTTCAGTTTTAAGTATGGTCTGGTTATTCAAGGATTAATAATATTTTGAAGTATAAATATTTCATTATTTCTGAAACATTTGTTGAATAAAACTCCTTTCCCTATTGAGTTGCCTTGTCATTTATTGAAAGTCAAATGACCAAAAATTCATGATATAGTTTTGTGTTATGTATTTTTTCCTATTTATCTATAAATTGCTATACCACCCTCTTATTTTCTGTAGATTTATAGACAGTCTGTAAATCAGACAGAGTTAATCCTATAAGTTCTTTTTAATGATCTTTACTATTCCAAGTCATTTGCATTTCTGAATATTGGGTTGTCGGAAAAGTCATGAAATATTTTTCTGCTTTTTCTATGCAAAATGTGTCATGACTTTAATGACTACCCAATACATTTTAGAATCAGCTTCTCAATTCCTATTAAAAAAAATCTGCTGTAATTTTTATTAAGATTGTATTTAATGTATAGATGAATTTGGAAGAGAAATGACATCTTAACCATATTGAGGTTTTTTTTTTTTTAAATCATTCAACTATGGTAGGAATGTAACACAGTTTAACTTTTCATATATTGATGGAAATTTGAGTTGTTTCCAAGTTTGGGCTATTGTGATGAAAGCTGTGTAAAGAGTTCATTTTTAGTCTTAAAAGAAACTGACAAACTATTTTCTAGCATGACGGTATCATTTTTATTTTCTGCATCTTCATTGGCATTTGGTGTTATCACTATTTTTAAATTTATTCATTCTAATAGATACATAGTTGTATCTCATTGTGTGTGTGTTTTTCTTAAGAGGTTTTTGCTATAGGGCGCATGCGCTCGCCAGACAGACAGAGAGAGACAGAGAGATAGAAAGTGAGAAATCACCCCCCAGGGGGGATGGCCACACTGCAATCCCTTCTCCTCCATTCTCCTCTCGGGATCTTGGGCATGCACACACATGCGCCCAGTGTGAGTTTAAGCCACCGGGTCTGGGACTCAAACCACAGTCGACTACATGGGAGTCCAGTGACATAGCCATTATGCTAACTGCTGGTCCCATCTCGTTGTGTTTTTAATTTGCATTCTCCTAATGGTTAAAGATAATGAAACTCTTTTTATCTACTTAACCATCTGGTATACCTTCTTCAGCGAAAGATGTATTCATGTGTTTAATCTGTTTTCTATTTAGATGTTGTTATTGTTTTCTATTGAGCTTTGAGAATTATTTATGTGTTCTAGATATATGTCTTCTGTTGGAAATTTACTGTACAATACTTTCCCCAGGATGGACACTGTCTTGTCACCCTCTTAACAAGGTCATTTGTGGATAAAATGTTTTTAATCTTAATGAAGCAGTTTCAAGTCTTTCCCTTTATGGATGACACTTTGAGGTTCATGTCTAAGAGTTCTTTGATGTGGCTTTGATCACTTTCCTCTTTATTTCCTCAAAGCTTTTATAATTTATATTTTATATTAAAGTTTGCGATCTACTTTGAGTTCATTTGTGTGTAAAACAAAAGGTTAAAGTCAAGGTTCATTCTTCTAGTTTATGTATATCTAGTGCCTCTAACAGCATTTTGTGACAGAATTTTCTTCCATTTAGTTGTTTTTGCATTGTTATCCAAAATCAGGCATATTTCCTGGAGTCTCTTTATGAGTTTTATAGTCTGCTCTATTGATCCAGTTCCAAACTTTTCTGATTATTGAAGTTACATAGTAAGTTTTAACAACACATAGAATGTTTCCTCCCCCTTCATTTTTTACGAACACTTATTTTAGCTATTCTCTGTCCTTGCCTTTTCATTTAAAATACAGAAACACACCTATGTCTACAAAACTCACTGCTGTGGTTTTGATAGGAATTGCATAAATCCTATGAAGCAATGTGAAGATATTTAATATTTTTAATATGTTGAGTCTTCCGCTCTCTAAACATGGTAGCTCTCTAGTTATTTAGGTATTCTTGATTTTTTTATCCTCATTTTATAATTTTCAGGGTGCAGATACTTTTTGTGTTTTGTTAGATTTATGACTAAGTATTTCATTTTTTTGCACACTCTTGAATGTGTTTTAATTTGTTTTCATGTAGTTGTGGTTAATATATAGAAATACATTTGATTTTTTGTACTGATCTTGTATCCAGTTGCCTTGCTGAATTCACAAGTTCTGTGATATTACATTTTTTTTGCAGAAAGAGTCAATGAGATTTGCATTTCTAAATAATGAAAGTTTTATTTCTTTCTAATCTGTATGCCATGTATGTATGTATGTATGTGTGTTGCCTTATTGCTAATTAAAACTTCTAGTACTGTGTTGAATAAAGACTGGTGAGAGCCAATATTCATTCTTTGTTTCTTTTTTTATTATTTTTTCAATTTATTTATTTGCATTCATTCACTCTACATCATTACAGCATACAAAATGAGATTTTCCATCCAGAGTACACTGTATATTGTCTCAATCAAGCACATCAACAAACATGTTATTGTCAGCAAATAATCTTCCATTTTTGTTTTCTGTATGTTTTGCTTTTTTTCCCCCATCCTTGATTCCCTATCTCTTACCCTCTGCCATCTCCCACTCTTCTCCCACACTGTCTCTGGTATCTATGTTTGCTTTCTATACTGTCTTCCCCCCACATTTTATTGAATTACTAAAGACCTTAATTAATATAAACATTTTCATAGCAAACACAGGTGATACATACATTTCCATGAACACAAGTCTAACTTTACGCATCCTATAAAGTAGCACCTAGCTG